AGGATATGTGCAATTATATGTGATTTTTTTTTTGAGGGGAGGGGATTTTTTTAAGAGTAGTTTTTAAAGAAGTGACTTGATGTTGAAGGAAAAGTGAATTTTTTTCAGTTATTTTCTTGGTGCAAGAATATTCAGATCTCTAGAACCTAATTCTCTTGTCTAAGATTCTGTGAGCCCAGCTTTTTAGTGAGTTGAACCAGAGTCTTACATGAAATAATCCTGGAGGTCAGACTATATCATTCAGCATTCCTTTTTCTCTTTTTTCCTCTAGTGAGGTTCGGAGTTTAGAGCCCAAGTTTTATATATATATATCTCTTTTTTTCCCATTCAGAAACCCAAGTATCAGTCATTGATGCTGGAGATGCAAAAACTTATTACAATGAAGGCATCATCCTGAATGTCTTTGATTTTGACAATCCATTGAATCATTTGACATTCAGGATTTCACTTAGCTTTGGGCATATTAAGGCCTCAGAATAATCTGGAAACAAATAGTTCTTCAGTCAGCCAATATTTGATCTTCTAAAATACAGCTATATTTATATACATACTGCTCTATGTGACAGCCTGGGAGTGCAAAATTTAAAACTGCAAATAATTTTTATAATTAATACACACTGAACACGAGTAATTTTTTTAACTTTTAATCTGTGATTCAAATAAGAAACATCAAAGTTGATGCAAGAGATGGAAGTATACTTTATTGTACGTTTCTGTACATATATAATGGGTGAGGACCTATTGGTGTTTATTTCCACCTATTTCTTAGATGGAAATCCATGCTTTAGTAAAGTCGGGTTGCATTGCACCTTCTCTGCTATTTGCTACTTGTGAATTTGGCCTTCTGTGTTACAGTGCTTTAATTCTAACACTTTCCTTTTCTCATTGTGTCTTTCATCCAGAAGAGGTCGGCTGTGTTCTCTCCTGTCACATTTTGGTCATGGCTAAGTTTAGGCTTCTTGGCACCCTCGATGTTCAGATGTCAGTGGGTGGCCTCTGAGCCTTCTTTTTATTTGTGAGGAAGGTTAAAAATGAGAAACCTTCCATTTGATTAATCAGCTGCCTATTACCATTCTTGAGAATTCTGATAATCATTGACATCCAGAGTTTAGACCCTCCTTTTGGACATTGCTAAGACACTCAAAAGTCATCCAACTTGTAGCTTTTTTTAGCAGTGGAAGTGCTTGATGTAGTTAGCAGGCCAGAATGAGCTATAAATAAATAAAATTTTACAGTGCTTATTTCCTTCATTCAGGGTAATCTGCTGAGAAGATGCAGGTATCTGGCAGAAGAGAAAATTCTCAGCAGGTTTAAGTGCTTACCAAAGTGCTTTCCTGTATCCGTGGCTCAGCTTCTAGTCTCTGCTTTGTTATTTTGGCACTCTAGACTTTGTAAGATTGGAGAGTCGAGTTTAAAACTCTCAATATATCATTAGGGTAGCCCAAGGTCCCTTCTTGTCAAGGAAGACTAGCGGATTCCAGGGGAAGGAAAAGCAGAATCCAGGGCACCTGTAAATCCCTGTAGTTTTGTGCTGTGGCTTTGTAGCTAATTATACAGCAGGCAACAGTAATATGCTGTACCCTTGTTGGTGTACTTGTTTCAGAAATCTGCCAGCAGAGCAAAGAAGGGACTTTGGAGGGGCTGCAAATGAATGAAGCAATGATCATTTTATTGTAAACTAAAGCTCTGCCAGTGGAATTAGGGCATCTGAGCTGCAAGAAAGTGGTGGGGGAGATGCCAATAGAAAGATATGGTTCTGATGTGTTTTATAGCTCTTAATTTGGATACTCCTGCAGAAATATAGTCACACAAGGAGACCACCACTGGTCACAGCCAGTCAAATTGCTCTTTCTTCTATGGTACTGCTGTTAGTGACTGCTAGTAGGTTATTCAGCCGACCTCTTCTGATTCTGCTTTGCTGCCTGATTTCAAAAGATTTGCCCTATACTGGCTTTCAGTCACAGCTTGATGTAACCACTGCTTGTTTGCATGCATCCCCATCATTTTCATATAGGGTCTTTTTTCCTTCAAGTTAAAAGGCAAAAGAATCAGGAGCATTTTTATATGATAAAAGATTTATGTAGGGCCAACTAGAATCAAGCAAAATGAAATTCAGCTAGAAGGGATAGTATAAAGGCTCAGAGAACTTGTGATTGCCAGAGAAGTCAGTCTTCCTTAAAGAGGGTTCAGCTAGCAGGCGGCATCTCTGACTTTGCATTCATATTCAAGCAAGCTCTCCAGCCATTCTGGGCAGGCAGATCAGTAAAATCAGAGGTGACTTAATACCAAGAACCTCAGAATTCAAAGAATTTCTCTTGTCCTTCTTTAAAGTTTATATTGGTGTAGAATGCTAGCATTGGGAGCTGAGAGGAGAAAATATCAGGTCTAGATTATGGTTTTTGACACCATACTGTATATTGTCCTTGGAATGCACCCCCCTTGGTTTCTCAGTTCTCACATCTGTAAAATGGAGCTAATTTAGTAGAAGGAAAGTAGTTCTAATATTTATGAAAACAATGTGAATGAAGATTCATCACAATACATGTTTTCAATAGCCCAAATAGCAGATTATAAGAAGTGAATTTATATCCCGTTTATGTATTTGAAAATGTACTTGGCTGCCTTATCAGAGAGATTGAGCAATTTGACCATTTTTGTGTGATGAGTATACGGTAGAATGTGGTAAATTTTATTTTCATCTATATAAATGGAATATTTGACTCTTATACAATCTCTTCCATTAGCTGTTTATTTTTGTACAGAATGTGAATCTAGCTTTCTGATATATCATAGTAGTGTGCAGTATGCCACATTTGTCATATTCTTAAATTGATTAAATAACCCTTGTATAGCATAATATTGTATACAAATGATTATTATGGACATGGCTAAGTATTTACCTGTTAATAGGCAGTTTATCCTTCCTTTCCTGCTCATCTCTCTTACATCCCACAAATTCTTATTCTTCCAAAGAGGATAAGCTAACTCTAAACCTACTTCTTACATGATAGATTTGGGACCATTCGTTTAAAAACTGGAGATACTGGGGGTTTTTGCTTTTTACCCCATACTGTGTAGATGGTACATAATTCTTATGACAAAGCAGCAGGGGGCTCCCTATAAGAGCTTGAGAACTGCTGATGGAGAAAGACTGGCTTTTTCTTGTTGTTGGTGGTGTTTTCAGTGCAGGCCTTTTTCTACTGAAAACTTGGTCCTCATCCTGTGAAGCCTCCCAAAGGGAATAGAATATAGCTTTAGTAGCAGTGAAACCATTTTATTGGTTTAAGAAATTTGTTAACAGTTGAGAGAGATTATACTGGTTTCTAAATTCCAGAAATCTAGATGAATAGATCCTGAGATTGCTTTGGTATCACTGAGTGAATCTCCGAAACAGGTTCATGGTAAGAGACTGGGCAGGTGGCCCCTTACTTTATATCTTAAAAGGAAGACTTTCCTGTATTTTCATTGGCATCTGCAGTTAGTTTTCTGTTCAGCTACACCTCCCTCTGCTCTAGGACCTGTGCATACTTTTTATGTATTAATGAAAGCCAAGTGCATTATAATGAAGGACCTTTTGTACGATAAAACTCATTCTCCTGAGGGAGCGGCTCAAGGAATCCAAACAGCACAGATTCAGGTTTTTGCACACAGAGGTTGCTCTTGCTGCTTTAGGAATTCACTCAGTGATACAGGTTTGATGCAAAGAGCATTTCTACTCACAAATCACATGAGGTATACAGTTTGTGTGTAGTGATATGTCATAGCTTTTTATTTATATGGCCAGCTCAGTCTACTCTGCTCCTTTCACTGCCATGGAAAGTACATCATTTTCCTCCCTCTATCCTCCTTCCCACATATCATCAGCACCACCCACTATGTTCTGCCTATTAAGTCCTCTGTGTGCCAGAAAACCCCAACAGTGATTAAACACTGATCAAAGAATGTTAGAAGGTTAAGATATCAACCAATCGGCCCCCTTACAAAGCCCCTAAATGGTGGGTGGTAAGAATAACTTGTTCAACATTGAAAATAAAGATTTTTATTTGTTTGATCCTTTTTTAGTTGGTAAAACAACTAACATCAAATTTTTTAAAAAGAGTTAGTGGCAGAACCAATGAGGATGCAGGAGACTTTTGTAATTTCTCATTTTTGTCCTAGTCTTTCTTCCATTTTGGCACATTTTTTATAAGGAAGTTCCAGGACTAGTCAAATTTAGGTAAGGTTTTATTTACGAGAGGCCTAGAATTTTTAAGCTAACAGCAATTTTTAAAATTGTTCCTACCCTAAACTCATTTAATTTAAAAGTATTAATTAATTTTAGCACACCACTCTAGTCATAGAATCATTTGTCATTACATTCCTGCATGATTTTCAGTTCTTTTAAGCTCCTATAGTAGAATATCTTCTTCCCTCCCCTGCTTCATGGGAGGAAGAGTATGGCTAAAAAAACTTAGAACTGAAGCTGGGAACCCAGATTACAGGATTATTTTCTTTGGAGGAAAATTTGTAGATCCATCACATATCCTAGAAAAACAATTAAGGTAGGAGGAGCTGTGGAATAAACTTCTCTGAATTTCCTTGTTATATTTTTAGTAATAGGAACAAGAAAGAAGAGTCTCTAAGAATCCTGCCAAGAATTATATTTCTTATTGAAGCCTAAGTTAATATACCATATCATATAGCTTAAACTAATTTTCATCAACCTTTGTTTTATCACTACTCTGCATTATTATTTTTTTTTAATAGAGCTATTTTAAAAATCCATTGTAAATACATTTGGACCCTTTCTATCAACAGCCGCTGTGGTGAGGTAGGTTAGGAGGCATGCCTCTTTGCAGGCACCCAGGGGGTTGAAGGGTAATGAGCACTTAATTATGTCTGCCGAATGCCAGAGCTGCCAAACTGGAGCTCCTCGTGACTGGTCTGTATCTGCTCTGACAATTCTTTTATTATGGCTTTCACTAACCTAACAGTAACTAACTGTGGTTGTTTAATTACAGAGGGAACATCCCCACGCTAAACAGGTACCGTATGTTTAGTTTCTTTTCCAATTAAAAGCACCTTTTTGTAACATAGAATAGTGCAACGAGGAAAAAAAAAATAACACAACACTTGACATGATAATGTGTTTTATCTTTGCTAGGGAGGTCTGAGTTCCCCTTTGGACATACTAAATTATTCTTTCTGTTTGGAAAACATGTCTTCAGCTTTTCTTCAGCTATTCAAAAAGCAATACTTGAAAAGCCTCAGTATGGAAAAGCTCCAATCTAGCTATATATGATAGAGGGTTTGTCTGCCTGATGTTCAGCTTTGCTGGAAGAATCTTCTTTTGCTAAGTTCTCTGTCTAGTTTGGGACTTTTAGAGGAGAAACCCTTAAGGTTACTCCTCTTCTGGCAAATTGTTCACAATTTTTATTTTCTCTAATTTGCTTCTCGTGTTAGAGAAGTGCAAATCCAGAAATAGCTGATCTCATGTTTTAACAATTTGTTAGTTAATTTTCTGAAGTGTTAAGATGTTATAATGACATAAAAGTCCATTTTTATTTCAGACTTACAATAGGATTAACATTGGAAAGGTGTATTTAAGTTTTGACATGTTTAGCCCTGTGAAGAAGTTTCTGGGCTAATATAACACAAGTGATACTTTAGTATGTTGGGTTCCTCCTGCCTCCTGAGCCAAGCAAGGCAACACAATGCAAGTTTGAGAGGATGGGAGTTTTGACTGGAATTGAGTCCACAAAATGCTAAAACGATAAGTTGGTGGCAAGCTCTTTGTAGATAGTCAGCTATGCATGGAACCATTTATAGATTTACATTTATTTTCTCCCTTTCCTTTTGAAACATTAAGTAACCAAAACTGATCATAGCTTTTAGAGCCCAATTTGGATGCAGAGAGGAAAGGGAATGTTTTTATTTGGTCCTCTAGTCTTCCCTTGGACGGTGGGCTTGGTTCATTCCTGCCTGCCTTTAGCTACCCTGGCCCACAAGCATAGCAGTGGGGGGGAAACTGAATAGTGTATTATTTCTCATGGGGTTCAGTTGAGTGAAAAAAATATTTAACCCCATGTTTTCCACAGAGACAGCTTGTTGAGTTATTCAGAGGGAGTTCCTTTTAAATGTTGTCTGGAACTCTTTTATCTTTCTTGTACAATGCCAAGCAGGTAGAAAAGATACAATGCCTCACAAACTTGCTTCTTAAGTAAACATATTTGGTGACCCTAGAAAAGCAGAGGATGATAGCATTTCTGAGTTAATACAACTCTGAATCCCAGTTTCTAGTGAGCACCATGTGTAAGACTTGCTTGATGTGTGTTTCATTTGTTTGTTTCATTCATGGTATCAATGGTTTCCTCTCCCACTCTTCCTTCTATTCCCCAGTACTGTCAAAAGATGAAGTGCCTTTTTCATAGTCGTCACTTGTCAAAGGAATAAAAACCTGGAGTGTCAGTCTCTATAGTCTGTGTGAGCAGCACTCCTATCCTATAAAGAATTCTATTGCCTTTTATAATTATGATTTGCAGTAGGATGCAGTATGTACCCAGTGTCAAGTCCACATTGCTGCTCTCTTCCCCCTGCAACACCGCAGGTGGTATACTTAAAGGAGATTTTTGGGGGAGTTCTCCAAATTTCAGGTGCCATTGCCTTGCTCTGAACTTGCATTACATCTATATGCCAGTAACATGTCAGGCAAGTCCTGGAGGCATCCTTTAGGTTGGTCCTTCCTAACAGGCTGTCCTGATTGAGCATTCAGAAACACTTTTACAGTATTATTTATCAGTACATACTGCTGAGATGCATCAAGGAATCTACAGATTCATTATGCTTTTAGATTGAACAAATCAGTTCAGTTCTCTTCAGGCATCTCCATTTAGCAACTGTTTGTCATGCTTACACATACTTTGAGACCCATACTCTGCCCTTTTGTATCTTGCTGGAAATTATTAAGGGCTCTCAGTGAAGTTATTATTGCTTTGGTATAGAAGTGTTTTCATATAAAAATAAAATTTTACAGTTTGGGTTTGAAAAATATCTCTTTTAAAAAGGGAGAACTATTATCCTAATAACTATCCCTACCAAACCATTAAAGGAAAAAGTAAATACCTTAGTAAAGTTCCTTTTATAGACTGTGAGTTGTTTCTGTACCATAAATAATGTTTTTATAATTATTTACTAAACCACTCCAAATGACTTAATTAGAGCTGTTATTTTACATCCATATATCTATCTCTTTATATATCTGTGAATACTTTATCTATTACAATTCCTAGAGAAAAATGCCTTAAGTGTTGCATAGTTAACAACTCACTTGGCTTGCTTACTTCCTTTTAAAGGAAGGAATGTTTTAGGGGAGGGAGAAGATGCAGGATGGTTTTTAACCCCTATGTGCTGTTCATTCATTAGACATGTCATAATGTCATTGTATTAAAATTGCCATCAAGTTCCTCAAAATCCCTAGGTTCCTATTTTAAGACATTTTGAAGTGATGAAAATATAGCTTGTATGGGGAAATTTAAAATAGTTAACATGCATCTAGCAAGACCACCTTATCCATAGTGGGTAAAAAACCAAATCTGCTCTGCACCCTGACCCTACTTCAGAGTTTTCTCCTAGCTCCTTTTCCCTACTATTACTCTCCCAGTCCTTGTTCATACTCTCCTTGTCTAATGAACTTGATTGAATTACCATTTAGAATGTCCTTCTCCTCCAACCTCAACCACTATGGCATGACTCATGTAGCTAGTGTCAGCGATGTGCTATTGGACAACTCATTCACTCCACCATGTCAGCGAATGGGCGGAATGGTTTCTTTTCGGACTTTTGAAGATTTTGTCAGGTAAGACATTATGTATGGAACTGTGCCTATATGAGGGGAGCCATGGCATCTCTGTTTTGGGGGCTGTCTCAGCTTTCTGCAAAATGAATAAAGGTCCCCAGAATAACTATGAACCAGCTTAAGGAGATGTAGTCATTGCTATACACACCCTCAGAGAGGTGTATATCCTTCCATTTCCACCTCTTGTTCAGAAGCTACAAGCCTCCTAATATGAGCGTGGTCAGAAAAAAAGAAACAAAAACCATCTTTCCTTAGGAGCTAACAGAAGAAGCTGTCTGCTCTGTGATGAGTGAAATGTCAAGAGAAATTAAACATAACACTAGAGTGAGCCCCACCAGAGACGATACATCTTTTGATTAAATGCATTCAGTATCTATCTCTTGATGTATACTGATGCATTACCCTAGGGGGAGGGGTAATTACATTGGTCTGTCACTGCTCCAGTTCCAGGCTTTTTCTGTTACTTTGAGACTGATGATGACAGCAGTGTTCGTATCTTACATATGAAAAAACAAAACAAAAAAAGCATTAGATCATTCCTTTTTTAAAAAACAGAAAAAAATATATATGGTTTATAAAAGTTTAAACAATCCATCTTCCTAATTTCTGTCACTTGGTGAAATTTTGCATGTCACTTCTAACCGCTGGTGATTCTATTTAGTTGACTATTGAGCAAAGGGTAGGAAACATTATTCTTTTAGACTGTGCTGACAATGGCAGTGTTAGTTTCCTGCCACTTAGGTTTTCATGGTGGGTATTTCTGTGGTATTTTTTAGGATCTTTGATGAAGTGATGGGCTGCTTCTGTGACTCCCCACCCCAGAGCCCCACATTCCCTGAGGCGGGTCACACATCTTTATACGATGAAGATAAGGTATAGTGTCACCTTTGGGTAACTGTTCAATCAGACATGGAACTTGTACTGTATACTGTCTTTCTGGCTTTGGAACATTATAGGAAAGAATTTGTCTTTCTACCCTGTTACATATTATTTAATTTTATATGCTTCATCAAAGTATTTCTTTGGACACAGGTAGCATATAAATTCTAACTTTAAAAAACTGTTAATTTTGTAATCCATAGTGTAGAACGGGCTCAGCTATACCCATTGCAGATGCCTCTGGGTCTCTAAATGTTGTTTTAAGTATTTGAACTTGGTGGTTGCTGGAATTCATACACAGTGATGGCTTGTATCTTTGCAAGGTGGTGCTATCATAGTCCTCAGGTAATGATGGACTTTAGATTGCAGGAAAAAAATAGCATTTTGTTTAAAACTTTGTCTTTTTATTTAATCTTTTTATTTATCAGTAAATAAATTGTCCTTTTCCTAAGATGTTATTTTTTTCATGGTTTGATACTTCCTTTCTTTGATCAATTGTAAGGATATATTATGTGTGAATATGTTCAAATGACTTTTTTCATTCATTTTCTTTTTTTTTTTTTTTTTTTGTGAGTTGGAGTCTCACTCTGTCACCCAGACTGGAGTACAGTGGCCGCTCTCTGCCACCGCAGCCTCGACCTGCTGGGCTCTGGCGATCCTTCTGCCTCAGCCTTCCAAGTAGCTGGAACTACAGACACGCGCTACCACGCCCAGCTAATTTTTTTGATTTATTGTAGAGATGAGATATCGCCCAGTTGCCCAGGCAGGTCTCAAACCCGCGGGCTCAGGCAATCCACTCACCTCAGCCTCCCAAAGGCGCGGGATTACAGGCTGAGCCACCAAGCCCGGCTTCATTCATTTTCATTTAACATTCTGGGAAGTGATGTGGCAGATGGCTTCACTACCAGTATATTGGTGAAAAATTTGAGACATCATAATCTTCAAGTTCAAGATTTGAGGTCACCTCTAGCTATTGCCTTTGCTACCTTATCTCTTAAAAGTTATGGGCTTTATTTTATCTCTGTTGTGAATATGGGGCTGTTTCGATTTGCTTATTCCTACTGATGGGCAAACCAAAACATGGGGTACACCTCTTTTTCAGTATTCTACTAAGTACCATAACTTCTTCCTGCCTCTGTATCTGCCAGCCTCTTAATTTCCTTGGCTTGTGTTCCTTGGTTACAGGTCCCTAGGGATGAACCAATTCATATTCTGAATGTGGCTATCAAGACTGACTGTGACATTGAGGACGACAGGCTTGCAGCTATGTTCAGGGAGTTTACCCAGCAAAATGTAAGTTCTTTGTTGGGCAGAAGCTGGTGATGACCCTTCTCTGCTGGCTATGTATCATATCTATCATTTTATCAGATCTATACTTTTATCAGTCCTACCACTCATAATGGCTATGTCTTTTAACATAATTATCAGAACCATGACTAGTTCTGTCTTTAGGGATAAAATTCAAAAGTAATTTCATAAGACAAGTTGAATATCTTTATAAGAAATATACATTTCAAATATTTAAAAACTTTTAAGTAAAGTTGTGTTTCTAAATCTCTTCCAGACCCCCAGTCTTGAATTTCCAATCACCTGCTGAATATTTTCCTTTGGTGACTTAACTCCACATGTCTAAGCCCAAATTCCCTTCAGGTCCCTTCTGTGTTCTCCCCTTCCCTCCCTTGAAAATACCAGTTATACTTCTGTCCTCCCTTTATTTTATGTCATTTGGTTATCTCCTGTCGACATCAAACTCCATAGTTTAAATTTCCATCGTTTTCCTTCACTTCTTCTCATCCCCCTCAAACCTCCTCCCATAAAACAAAACAAAAACAAACAAAAAACTCACAACTAGCCACACCTTTTACCACTAATCATTTAGAAATCATTAACTTCTTCCTTTTCCTTGACATTATATTATTTTACCCCTCTACGCACAATCTGTACATGCTTATTTATATCTGGTCAGTCATCAAGGTCTGTTAATTTTTCTTTGCAGTCTTTTTTACCCCTTTTCTTCTTTTCAGTTTTCAGATTCCCACAGCCATCTCTTTACTTTAAACCCTTACTCTCTCACGCCTGAGAAATGCAACAGGTTTATGTGTGACCTACAAATTTTCCTTCACTCTCTTCCTCCAGACAGTTTTCCATTCCGCTCACCACCACAAAATTAAATGTCCACAATGTCCTCTTACCATATTATTTTCCTACTCAACAGTGATTCTTTCTTACCTTCAGACTACATCCTTAACTTGAGATTTTACCCCATCAGCTAATTTCTAGCTTTTGCTATTTTGTGAAAAGACCTAAGTCTTTATTGTCTTATATGCCTTGTTTAGTTGATCTCTTTTACTGCCTCTCCTTTGGAATGTTTTCCCCTTTCATTCTAATTCCTGCTTATCTTTTTTTTGAGTTGGAGTCTCACTCTGTCGTCCAGACTGGAGTGCAGTGGCTGCTCCTGGCAACTGCAGCCTCCACCTGCTGGGCTCTGGTGATCCTTCCACCTCAGCCTTCCAAGTAGCTGGAACTACAGGCATGCGCTACCATACCCGGCTAATTTTTTTTATTTATTGTAGAGATGAGGTCTCGCCAAGTTGCCCAGGCGGGTCTCGAACCCGCAGGCTCAGGCAATCCACTCACCTCAGCCTCCCAAAGCACGGGATTACAGGCTGAGCCACCAAGCCCGGCTTTTCCTGCTTATTTTAAGAATTGTCTCAAATTTCCCCTCTTTGTTGAGGACTTCTGAGTAACCCTAACTAAAATATATTTTTCTCCCTTGAATTATTAGTTGGTCAGAGTACATTTATTAGCAATAATAATGCTTTTTATTTATAAAGAACCTCTATGTAGATTTTTTTACATACACCTTACCACAATCCTATGGAGTTAGATTAGTCAGGAATTATTTCAGCTATGCACGTGGAATAAAGCTAAAGCTCAGAGAAATTAAAGCCACTTGGTCACCAACTGGAAGATGATGGAGCAAGTACTAGAATTTAAAGATTTGATGCTAACTCTAAGGTACATAGATCTAGGTGTTTTACTGAACAATACATTCTTAGCCCTGAAGATGTGTATACTGTAGTTTGGGGGACTGAATAGGCATGCTTAAAGCAATAATCTACAGTTATATTTATTGTGATATGTGATAAATGCTAGAGTGCCCTCTTAACCTGACCTTAATGGCAAGACCTATATGTTCTCTTTGAGTGATCAGCACTTGGCTCATGATGCTTGCTACAGAGAAAGACCTCACTAGATGTTTTTAAAATTGAATTCAGTAGTATAAAACATTAGTCCCATTGGCATTCACATCATGTAATGCTAATGGTAGATACCAAGAGGAAAAAATGGTAAATTAGTGATTAACATGAGTCTTAGTACTTACTCTATGGTGCCCTCACAGCACATAAATTAACTGTGGGATTGCACATGAGGAAAGGATTCTTACAGGGAAGTGAAAGTAGGGGACGTGCCTGGAGATTTTTCTTTATCTTTTTTTTTTTAGAGACAAGGTCTCACTCTGTCACCCAGGATAGTGACATGATCATATCTCACATGAACTTCTGGGCTCAAGTGATCCTCCTTCCTCAACCTACCAAGTAGCTGGGACTACAGGTGCACACCACAACACCTGGCTTTTAATTTTTTTTTATTTTTAGGGTCTGGATGTGTTGCCCAAGGTGGTCTCAAACTTCTGACCTCAAGCAACTTTCTTGCCCTGGGCTAGTGATCCTATAAAATTAACATAAAGCTGGTGATAAAGGTAATGTTTGCTGAAGAGTCCTAATGTGTGTGGCTGCCATTGCCGCTGCTGCTTCAGGAAATAATCTGAAAATTTCTTCAGATTTTGAGGCATTAATCACCTATATTTGGTTGTTTTTCCATAATTTGACCACAACTTTAGGCTTTTTATAACTTTAGATCTAAGTATTGAATATATTGTCACATTGATCTAAAGAGATAGTTTCTTCATTTTCACTGCATGTATTTGTAACATAAATAAGCAATAAGAAATTTTACTAGACTTGTAAACTGAGGCACAGAGAAATTGTGTGTCTTTGCCTAAGGCTATTCATAAGGTAAGGGTAGACTGGTCCAAGATATGGTACTTGTAACTGTATCAAGTACTGTGCTTATCCAGGAACATTTGTCATTTTCATTTCCTTGTTTTAAAAAAAAAATCATATATATATACACGTATATATATACGTGTATATATATATATGGAAAAGCAATCTAAAAAAAGCTGAAGTGATAGCTAGTTTTGTTTTTCACTTCATGATCATGCTTCTAGCAGTTTAGAAAAAGTTTTTTTTTAAAGCGCACATTAAACTATCAAATAGGTTGATCCAAATTGTCCAAATAATCTTCTAGTCCCAGCATGTCTTTTTTTCTCTCATAGAAATTAGGATCATATATTTGTAAATGACTTGTGGAGGAGATTGAAGCAGTCAGTGTAAATGGAGTTTCTCCAGGTGCTGATGCCTAATCGCTGGGTAATAGCTGTGGACTTGCTGTGAGACCCACATTATTACAATGTAATCAGAATCCTGTTGCTCTGCTGTTATTGTCAGCCACTTGTGGAATTTTAAAAGCAATAACAATTTTGATTTTAAATCATGGCATTATTAAAGTTATTTTCTTCCCTTGCCAGAACATAGCTATTGATGCTTGTCTCTGAAGGACTTGACTGTAGTGGAATTCTTCGTTGGTATCTGGAGAAATGCTTCTGTTCCTGGGCACACTGAGAGACTGGGAGCCACCATACCCCCCTTTCTTTCAACACAATTTTTTCTTATTGTAGTGTCAATACTTGGTGATTTATAGCAAAGGTTATGATGACAGTACAGATAATTTTTAAATGTAGCTAAGCCAAAATTTATTTATATTTGACCTGGGAATTTAGTATTATTATTTGTTTGCAGGAAATTAATTTTTCTAGTTATCTTTTGCTTATGCTGTTAATAAAATTAATTTTATTACTCAGCAGTGCCAGGGCAGAAATGGAGAAATCGGAAGAAATAACCCAGGAACATGTTTCCTTATAAGGGGAAACCAATTTGGATTTTTAAAAATATGCAGTATCAGCCGGGCTTGGTGGCTCAGCCTGTAATCCTGCGCTTTGGGAGGCTGAGGTGAGTGAATTGCCTGAGCCCGTGGGTTCAAGACCCGCCCGGGCAACTTGGTGAGACCTCATCTCCACAATAAATCAAAAATTAGCTGGGCATGGTAGCACGCGCCTGTAATTCCAGCTACTTGGAAGGCTGAGGCAGAAGGATAGCCAGAGCCCAGCAGGTTGAGGCTGCGGTGACCAGGAGCAGCCACTGCACTCCAGTCTGGGTGACAGTGAGACTCCAACTCAAAAAAAAAAAAAAAAAATTGCAGTATCATGAATGTTAAGAATTGACTTATGAACATATCTCTTTGGGTTAGCATTATAGCAAGAAATGTGGTCAAACTAAAGTCTAGATGTAGGTTGTGAAAGTCTATGTACTTTTAAAATTTTACTATTCATATATATATTTTACTATTCTCAGAAGTCATTCAACTGGTCGACTGTTTTTCTGCTTGTTGCCATGTAGCCCCTCTTTGTTAGGGACCTTTAAAAGCAGGTCTTTTACTTAATTCATTAACTTATTTCTTTGTCTCTCCCTTTTGAGGTAAATGAGCAGTACAGGAAAGGAAAAGGCTAAGGTCTGTTAGGCCAAAACTCAAATAAGAGGTTGTCTTGAAACTACTGGTCTCTGCTAACTTCTAATTAACTGATTACCTATGATAAGTGGAGATATGAATAATCCCTAAATTTAAAATCCTGTTAAACTTTGCTTTTAATAATTTTTAAAAACCTCTTTTAAAAAATACCTTAATGTAAAGTAGGGAAGAACTGTTTTAGAGAACTGAAATTCAGGATTTGTTAGGTTGAATCATAGGAATGCTGTATCTGACACTAGAAAATATCTATAATCCAAATAGCAGTTTAGGACCTGTGTTTTCTGCCTACTGGAAAGCTGTTCTTTTTCTTTATCTGATTTTATTTAGCTTCTGTATCAATATTAATCTTCTTATTTGAATACATGCTCAATGATGTGATTTCTATAAGCAGAAATTGTTACGTTCTGCCTTGATGTGAATTGGTTCTGAGATAACTTAGTTTACCTCATCACCTTTTCTACTCTACAAAGTTCTCTTTCAGTTTTATCCAGATCAACGTAAAATCTATTTCATAAGACTTAGTCCAAGGAGCCAGGTTGAAATTTATTTTCAGGTTTGAAGGTACTGAGCCAAGATGTACGTAGCCAAAAAGAGTGCTTAGACCAATCAGAGCTTTACAAGGACCGAATAGGGTAAAATTTAGGATTAATGGAGATCTCATCTATCTTCTGTTTTACATGTTTGCTCATAGAAAGCTACCCTGGTTGAGCATGGGATCCGGCGCCTTACTTTCCTGGTTGCACAAAAGGTATTGACATGTGAATTGTATCTCTTTTAATATTTCTTATGCTGCTGCTAGAATTTAATAAAAAGTGGGATCACAATCATATGCTTACTTGTAGAACTATACAGATAAATAACTGTTTTGCTATAAATTTAGTATTTAAAAACACTAGTTTAACTCATCACCTTTTACTCAATTTTGTAATTTTATTACTAATTGCCAGCTTCTGCTTTTTTTCCTTCCTTTCTGTCTTTTATTTGAAAGGATTTCAGAAAACAGGTCAACTATGAGGTGGATCAAAGATTTCATGTAAGTAAAAGGAACAATAATGAAAGATTACTTATTGTTTTATCTATTTGCTGCTGATTATTTAAACAGAATGTGTTAGTTAGAAGACGTGGACTTATATCTGATCCCTCTTCTTTTTAGAAATTATTGTAATAAATATCCAGTTCTTCTACAGTGTACCAGCTAAAGGTTTTTTCCTTTTTTAATTTTACCCTATAATAAAATCTCAATGTATCTCTGAGAAATATTTAAGAATGAGCATCTGCATTTATCCAGAGGTAGAAACAGGAGCTAACTAGTAATTTCTTCTGTGCACATAGTGAATTAAGTAAGAACTGCTAATTGCACTGTGGGTTCTTGGCTTTTACCCAAAGATGGATTAAAGTTCTATTATTGAGAATTCTCAATTCAGAAGAACAATGATTTATTATTTAAAATGCCTTAACAGACCCCAAGTTGCTACTTTTTTTGTTTTATATTAATTTTAGGAGCAGAAAATAAAAATTAAGAATTCCGTAGCTTGTTCTCCCATTTAACTGATTAACTGTTAATATTTATGAGATTAAGCCGGGCTCAGTGGCTCAGCCTGTAATCCCGCGCCTTTGGGAGGCTGAGGTGAGTGGATTGCCTGAGCCCGCGGGTTCGAGACCCGCCTGGGCAGCGAGACCTCATCTCTACAATAAATAAAAAAATCAGCCGGGCGTGGTAGCTCATGCCTGTAATTCCGGCTACTTGGAAGACTAAGGCGGAAGGATCACCAGAGTGCAGCAGGTTGAGGCTACGGTGGCCGGAAGCAGCCACTGCACTCCAGTCTGGGTGACAGAGTGAGACTCCAACTCAAAAAATAAAAAAAAATTTATGAGATTAAAATTTTTATTGATAAGAGTATTAAGTCAATAGCCTAGCATCTGGTATACCCATATGATCATACCCAATATGATGACAGCAGTAAGGCCAGAAATTCAGTTTGCAACCAATATGTCATTGTCAGATTGACTAATTGTACTCAAAATATTTCATTAAAAATTAATTCTAATGTAGCCAAGAAAAGTTACAAAGGATGTTAGAAAGTCTTAATCTTCCTGATAAAAAATTTTATTTCATTGTATTTGGTTTGGTTTTAGCAATTAAGGTAATTTAGTTCTCAAGCCCTGCTTGTTTGCAATAATGAAGATAACACTTGGGATTCTAGAAAGAACTTTCTAAACTCAAGGACCTACATGTGATTGCTTTTATTGCCCTTTTGTTTATTAGGTTTCTAGCACTTGACATTTTGTTTTCCTACATATAGTTCACCTTGTTGGTCTAGTCTACAGAGAAACAAGAGAGCCTACCCTGCAAGCTAACTAAAAAGCTAAGATTTTCAGAAATGCTTTAGGAAATGTGAACTACACAACTTCCCTGTGTTATTGATGTCATGAAATCAAGCAGAGTGCAGATATATATCAATCAATAACTTTAGATAGGAAATAGTCAGTGAAGAAGTATGAGGAGCTTAAAGAGAACCCTGGAGCTTTTGGAAGAAAAATCAGGAGCTTAGAGAGTAAAATTGATAATGGGGGATAGAATATGAGAGCCCATGAATAAACACTGTTCCTTGTAGATGTTGTTTCAAACAAAGGTGAACATGCCAGAGCCAGGCCCTGGGTTTTGGAAGAGTATTGTGCCTGGTTCTTTTTTTTTTTTTTTTTGGGTT